AACCCAACAAGCGCCGCGCTGGGCATCTCCCTGAGGCACGGGGGTCCCCCGGCACGGGGGGAGCGGGGCAGCGGGGTGCCTGGCGGGGACTTTACCTCCCTGCACCATCCCGAGCCCAGCAGCAGCTCCCGGCTCTGCGAGTGGGACCTGGCACCTCCCTGAAACCGTTTTGTCCCCACTAATGGGCACCCAGGGCTGGGCAAAAGGCCACGATCACGCTCCTCTGCCCCATCCTCTGCTGTAGCACATCGCGTGGGCCGAGCTGAAGGGTGGGCTTCGAACCGGAGATGTGCCCTCGGCTCGTCGGGGTCTCCAGGGGACGCACCACAGCCCCCCGACCCTCCAGCCCGAAGGGTGTGGCGCACATGAATGTGCCATTTTGGGGGAACGGTGCTGTGCCCTGAGCAGCCTGGGGTAGCTCGGGGTGGGGGGGCTGCAGCTGGAGTCCCCTGCTCAGCAGGCATCGGGCGTGCATGCAACACCTCCCCGGGGAGCCTGCCGAGCAAACCCACTTTGGCTCCATTTTAAGACTCTCCCTCACCCGATGGAGTAGTGGAAGCGTTTGCATGTGATCCAGGGCACCAATTAATCCCTGGCCGTGATGGACTGCACAGAGCAAAGGGACAAAGCTCAGCAGCTGCAGCGCTTTGGGCTGCAAACGCACTTCTAGTACACAGAGCCATCTCTGAGCAGATCCAAGAGCCAGAGCCTCTGGAAGCTCTGTCCGGCATCGTTTTGGAAAAATCCCTATTTTTGCATTACGGAGAGCACAAGTGCGCTTGAATCCAAGTGCTTCGATCAGGAGAGGAAGAATAATTAGGCAGAAGAAAGGCAGAGGCATCCGCGCTGCCGCTACCTGATTTATCCGCGCGCCTGTGCTGGCCCGGCCACACGCTGTAACGCGCCCGGCCTTGTTTAGTCTGTGTGGGAGCACAAATCACGGCGCAATGTCATCGCTCTGCCAGGGTCTGGATTTCATTAGGAGCCACATGATCGGCCTCGGCTGCTGCTGGGGGCTGGCTGCGCTCCCCCCGCAGGGCTGCACAGAATGCAGGGGCGACAGGTCGGGGTGCAGGGCTGAACAGGCGCCTTGTCTGCAGGGGAGGGTCAGCAGCCGCCTCAGTGGGACGGGGGTTTGGTCCCCCTGGGATGTCTGAAGATCCTGAAAATATCCTTAGGGGAAGGGAGCGTGGCCTGAAGCTGTCTCCTGCTAGCGTGGGGACTGTTGGGGTGCAGCAAGATGGACCCCCTGGAGCACCCTTCCCCCAGAAGACAGGCCCCACAAGTTTGGGTCACTGCCCCTTCCCCAAAAAATCAGGCTGCTGAAATAGAGGAGCACAGCTGGCAAACGGGCAGCCCCAGGTCAAGGGATGGAAGGGACCGGCTGCAGAGTCTGCTGCATCTCTTGCAGCCCGCTGAACCCTTTGCGTCCCTTGCATCCTTTGCATCCCTTGCAGCCCACTGCAACTCTTGCATCCCGCTGCACCCCTTACATCTCTTGCATCCCTTGCAGCCCGCTGTGTCCCTTGCATCCCTTGCACCCTTCCACTGCTTGCAGCCCGTGGCCCCTGCGCATAACTCCCAGCCGAGCCCACACACTTCTCTCTCTCACCCCGTCTCCCTCCCAGGGAGGGAAGCGCCATGCAGGGACCCACGAGCACCCGCGCCAGCCGGCTGGGAGCCCCTCCAGCGGCGTGCAGGGGAAGCAGCTCCCGTCCCTTGCCCAGAGCGAGCCCGGGCTCGCCAGGCAGGGCTGCGTAGGCAGGACCATGTTGTCCACAGGGTGGTATAGACCCGTCACCCCGTATCAAACAGACCTTCTGACAATCCCTCTGCTCTGCAGGGAGTGGAGACATGAGGAGCTCCTGGGCTGCTGAGCCACAACTAACACAAATTCGCCCCAGCTGAGCGTTCACATCTCCTCTCGGTGAAGGATGTGCAGTCAGGACGCGCGTGTGCAGCATCTCCTCCGAGTCCCCATGGGTGCTCAGCCCAGACAACCAAAGCCTGGCCATGTTTTCCAACATGTTTCCGACCATGCATGCTCCTCCCGGCAGGTCAAACCCGGCTTTTCCAGCTCGGTAGCCCGTGCTCCGCCAGCTATGTCGGCAGCCGGTCGGGAAGGGAGCACAGAGGTTTCACCCGGCGCCACTGAGAGCCAGCGACCACCTCAATCCAGATCTTATTTTAGCTGCAGCTCAGGGGTGAAATTCCCGTTCAGATATTCAGCTCCAGAGGCCAGAGTGGGGGAAACACATTTACTCCGCCGTGTTTAAATTGGAATAAATCCGGTGAGCCCGAGGCCGTGAGGCTCTGGGGCTCTGGGCTCTCTCCAGGGGACGAGAGTGCATGAGGCTGAGGTCAGACACAAGGTTAAAGTGGCCCAAAAAAGGAGGGGAGGAGGCTGGGGAGGGACGGCAAAGCCACCACAGTGGGTGACCACGCGCCCAGCACAGTATGGGGATGGGGGGGCTGGTGCTGGAGCCCCTTCCCCAGGGGTGCAGGGGGCTGGTGCAGCTCTTGGAGGGTCCAAGGAGGACCTGGAGGGGACTCAGGGAAATGATCCAAACCTAGCCAGGTGAGGAGGGCAGGATCCAGCCCTAAGGAGAGGAGCCACCCCGAGACACAGCCCTGCGGGGGCTTTGCTGCTCCGGGAGCGCCCTGGCTCCATCCCCGGCTCAGGTACCAGCCGGGGACTAGCCGAGCGCACCATGGCTCGGGCAGAGCTGCTGTCAAATCACCGGCTTCGGCACAGCCGACCCAATCTGTAGCCGTGCCATAGAGAGCAGAGCCCCAGGTGATGCTGCCTTGTCCCCCGCCCCACGGTAAAAGCAGTAAAGGCACCGTCAGTGCAAAAGCCACGGTGCATCGGCC